ATATATATATATATACATATGTATATATATATATACATATGTATATATATATATATACATATGTATATATATATATATCTATATGAAAACTATTTATTTATTTGCCTTATATCAGCGACATGTAAAAAGTAGTAGATGTCATTCATTTTTTTTTTTTTTATTTTATTTTTTTTTTATTTATTTAAGTATATATGTGAACGTCCATCATATAGCTTTATCGTAGGTAGAAAAACTTTTCAAACGTCAACAGAGAAAAATCTGTTGACTTCGCAAGGAAAAACACCAATTACGTTGATTAATGTAGAGCCATTGTAGTATCAGATCAGCGCAAGAATAATGTGCTTTTCCGAACACATGGCACGACTGAGCGTAACTGTTACATATACTATTGTATATGATTCTAGGAAACACTTTTTGTTGGAAACTTGTTAATAGGTATCCAAGCTTTCAGCTTTAAATCGAATGGTTACCTAGAGATATATAGGTAAATTAAGTGTGAAGAAACTCACGATCATAGCAAAAGAATTGAATTGATACTTTATTAACATCATCCAATAGTTTTATTGATAATTATAAATATTAATATATTATAATTTAATATTTTTCGCTATCAAATTTTCTCTACATTTATAAATTTCAGCAATGAAAGCAAGAGTCTTTCTTTCACAGTACATTCCGATAGAGTGAAAGAATTCGATCAAATTAATTTTATTGAAATTATAAAGATAAACAAAGCGTATTAATTATCTCTATAATTTTCTTATTTTTGTTTAAATATATCGAAATTTAATAGAGTGCATCAATTTTTTTTTTTTTTTTGAGTTTTTAAGATAAATAATACCGCTATAATGATATATGGCTGTCTGTGTGCCTCATATTATAGAGTGAATGAATATCTGCCTATTAACATTTCTTTGTTCTCTCATTTAATAACATAAATGTCTTGTATACAATATTCATGGGCAAAGTTATAATAATCAGGCTTAAGAGATTTAAAAAAAGAATTATCATCTGCATGTTAACGCGTTCTACGTATAATCATACCGATTGTACATTCTTATTCACGTTAAAGAAAAAGGCCTAAGCAGTTGATAGTTAACGTCGGTCTATAAGCATACCGTTAATTAAAATTTATCATTAAACATTTAAAAAAAAAAAAAAAGTAAAAGCTAAAACAACCATGATTTAGTCTCAAGATATAGTTAGAAAATTGCTATTGTATACATATATAAATTCGATAAAGAGTTGTCAATTTCTAAACATGCACCAATACAACATAACATAGCTTTCAATATAAATCATAAACAAAAAATCATAAATAAAAAAAATAATAAGCGTTAAAAATTGTTTCATAAAAATAGATGCACTCCGTTAATTGCAACTATAAACAATTGAAAAGAAAAAAAAGAAGAAAAAAATCAATCTTAGTTGAAAATTTTTTAACGAAGCATACATGTTGCACCAATAATTCGTTATAACTATAAATATGATGATAAACGTGAATTTTTTTGCACAAAATTCATAATACGTGAGTGTGTGTGTGTGTGTGTGTATGTAATGTGTGTCAAGACAAATATTTTATGTTTAATAGTTGGTACGTATAAAAATAATTTGTCTAATCTATAACTAAGAAAAGTTTATTAACGTTGTAAATAGTTTGATTGTATTCATAATTTGTTGTACATGTACGCGAGTGCCCACTTATTATTCACAATTGTATATACGCAGTGTATTATCTTTACATTAATTTTACGCACGACGTAATTAATCCCATACAATTTTTAAGTTAATCAAAATCATTGTGATGCCATGTTACATTCTTTTATAGTAGCGAATATCATGATCTTTATATTATTTTCATTTAATTAATGAAATTAAATAGACAATCCATTTTACCAGATATCCTCGAGTCATACAATTTGAAATAATGAACATGCATAAATTCCTTATCACAAAAAAAAATAATAAATTAAAATGTTATTATTTAATATATAGCAATATTTTTCAAAATATAAAATTGCAAAAATGTAAAATTAATATTAGAAATCTTACTTAGAAATCATAAAAATAAAAAAAATATATAAATATATATACACACATACATGTATATTTTCAATAACAAAAAATCAAATTGACAGATTTTTATTTTAATTATATATAAAATAATTATAATTTTTATTGTTATAAGGAATTTACGTATTTTTGATTCATTGCATAATATTAGGATATCCGGTAAGATATCAGGTTCAATTTCATTTCTTTTTTTCTGTATTTTTCTTTAATACATCATTGTCATTTTTCTTTTATAATTTAGTTCTTTTTATATATCATATCCTCTCAAATTCCAATCCACATGTACATATATTTCGAAATCGCTTCTACTTTTTGAAGTTCTGTTAATAGTTCCTTTTATAAAATGGCTCACTAAAAATGTATTTATAAATGTAACGTATTTATATTAATTGCCGTTACATCTATTTTATATTATATTTTTTCTCAATTTAACTGTTAACAGAATTCTCTTGTAAATTTCGCGTAAGCATATAAGGATACAATTTAAGATAAATGCTAACAAAACCATGAGTGAGATAAAAACAGTGAATATGCAACGAAAAATATAGACTCGGTCAGTTTATTAGATAAAAAAATAATAAGCTATTTCGCGGTAGACGAACAAACTGTGAGAAAAATGAATTGATGATAAAATTGATAATAAGATATTTTTGAAATTCTTTATTTTATACCACAAGAATATTAATTAGAAAATAATAAATAAATAAATACATATTTATGATCTAAGCAATTCAAATATTATATTCAATTTTATACTCTGGAATCATAATAATTATTAAGCAAATATCTGCCATGTGTGATTATATTAAATTCAATCTTTATGTTTTATATTTTATCTATGTTTTATATGTCGAAAAATTAAAATAACAAACAAAATAACAATATATAATTAAAAATCGATTTTTCTAACTTCTAGGATTAAGTAATTAAGATTTCTAATCCATTTAAAATTCTTGAATTCCCTTTAAAACAAATCATAACTATAATTCTATATATTCTATACTATAAAGATACTTATAATATAATCATAAATTATCTAATAAATCTACAACAAACCAAAAATTTATGTATCGAATACTTTAAAAAAATATATTTAGTTCTTAAATGATTGTTACTATCAAATCTATCTTATTATCAATAACATTAATTACCTAGAGTTAAATTAATTACCTAGAATAATATTTGCGACTGTATTATTTCGTCTTTAATTAGCCAAGTATAAACTAGCATAGGCAAAATGTAATACGGTGTTTTTTCTATCTTTTGCTGAACATAGATATTAGCTTTCAGAACAGTCTATAAATGGAAATGGACTCTAAAGCAATCGCTGTTAAACTTATTCTTAAACAAAAACGACTTTTGCGCCGAGAAATAATCGCGACGCCCACCATATATCGATACTTCCAAGGCGAGGGATATTTGCTATTTTAATGATAAATTGTAAATATATTATACAACAAATTTAATGATGAACGATTCGTCGATCTCTTACTATATATTTTCGAAAAGAAGAAAACAAAAATGTTTTAGAATTTGAATTAAAAGAAGCATTTCTGAAACAACTATGTGAAATTAATCTGCATTTTTAAAATTGATCATATAATAAGTCGATTGTGTCAAATAACTCTCGCCGAATTTCAATTACCAATGTTTTAAATGTGTTATTCCAATGAAAAAACAATAAGTAATATCCCTAGCGAATAATCGATAAGCGTCAAATAAGTAATAATTACTATTAATGTGTTACTGATCTCTTATCGACAACAACAAAAAAAATATTATATGTGTAATTTAACATTTAAATAGGTACAATGGTAAGTATTAGAAAGTACCGATAACCGATAGTCTGCTGTGATTTTCAATACTTTGGTTAATATAAATTTAAAGATGTTTGCCAAAGTATTAATTATCGCCATGACAAAAAAAGAACATATCCACAAAATGCATTGTATTGCTGTTTAAAAATAACAGTAATCTGAATACTGTACCAAAAGAGAAAATCTCGAAAAACAAATTGATTCAAAATAATATCGATTTTTATTTCATTATTTTTAACGATGATGTAATTTGTTTGTTTGTTCAGCAGCATGAGATATCGAAATTTAAGTGATTTTTTATCAGGGGAGAAACAAAATTTTATGTAGTCAACAATGTATATCGAAATAAATATATTACTGATACTATACGTATGCTTAAATATTTATAAAATTAAATTGTATAATATAATAATATATTTAACAAAATATAATTTTAGACTGATAATTATTCAAATAACTAAAAAAAATAATTCACAATTAACAAAATTTTTTAATACAGATTGACTTATTTTGTAAATAAGTTATTTTTAATAATGACTATAATATAAAATTTCTAGCGCAATTAATGATTAAAATATTATTAAAATTACATGTTATTTAACAAAGAAGAAAAAAATAAATAGATAATTTTCACTATTTTATTCCACAGACAAATAAACTTTAATGTAAATACATTGAATCAAAAGTTACATACATAACAAGCAAAGCAAAATTAAATAATTTTCAAATTAATTTTTGTCGATCAAAATAATCAACAATCAAAAATTTTAAACAGAGAACTCAAAAATAAGAAAATCATAACTTCAGAATATTCATATATTTTAAATATAAATATAAATATAAATTTATCATAATTTATTAACTATATATTTTATTGCTGCTTTACACAAACAACAAATTGCATAATAATCGTCATTTGAAAATCTTCTGCGAAGATTGCACATCAAGATATTATGTAATTTTTAAAAATAAATGCATTAATGCATTAATTACAAAAGAATTGCATTAAATAGTCCGATTGAAAAATATCGACATTATACAATAATCTATTATTAATAAGTCGAATAATTTTAGTAATTGCTACAATTGTACATGAAAATGAATTGCTCCTCATTTTTGTGAATAATTTAATAAACTCAATTCGTGACATTGGCTCCATTAGGGATTGATCTCTTGAATAAAATTTTTAACTAATGAAAATTTCAAAAAATGATCACAATGATAATTTTTCAGAAATTTTTTTAATTTTAAAATTATATTAAAAATTCTATATAATTTATGTTATGATTATCACATTTTTAAATATTTTTATATAATTGTTTTCAAATATTCATCATACTTTCTCTTTATCCTAAAATTATTATCATAGAACTGCCATGGAAATATGTAAATTATTTGAATTACATGAAAAATCAAAAAATATGTCACAAATATCATAATTATTTAAGGAATCAATCCAACAATTCTATATTGTTCATAAATTACAATAAAATTACAATATATTGTATTTCTTGCAATGCAAAGATTATAATATTAAGCAAAAAAAATATGAAATGACATTTATATTATATATGTGTCTCATCTAAAGGACTCTATACACGTGTGTAGAACCCTGATATTAAAAACAAAAATATAACCTACAATTCATACGAAATACAATTCACCGAGCATATCATTTGTAAGCGAGCGATTACTGTACTATTATATTCGAAATCCCTTTTCAATTATATTCACCTGTGAAAAAATAAAAAAAATTCCGACAGCTGTATTTAAGAAATAAATATAACACTATGCTCACACATTTTAATCATGCAATTTATTATGTAGCTGATCATATTTTTCTATACATATTTTTCTTACTATGCTGCAATACGCGCCGTTTTAACATGTTTATGTAATGCGATCCATGTGCAATTAATATATGTACCTACAATCATTATTTAGATTAACTAAAAAAATATGTACTTTTCTTCCGTTTTCTCTATTTATAACTATTATTATGTTAAATGTTTTTAATATGCGTACGAAATTTTCGATCAAATGTTCTTGCTTCTTTTATAATAAGTGTATGAAGAAATGAAATAAAAATGTGTTAGAGCCAAATATATTTTAAAGGTCAATAATGATCAAATGATTATAAGATTATTGAATTATTTTAAAATGAAAATATTTTATCGTTTTACTCATTCTGTTCAATTAAAAATAAATCAATATAATAAAAATAAAAATTTTTAAAAGCATCGCAAGTTAAAAAAATAAAAATAAAAAAGATCATATGATTTCGAAAATAATTTTTAAGTCAATTCATACATTTTAATTTCACTATTAATTTCACCTAAATTATAAGCTACGAGGAAAATATGGTAAGAATTTAGATTGTTAAATAAACAAAAGTTTTTTTTTTTTAATATGTTGATTTTGTAATTGAATATATTTATTTTTAATTCAAAATATATTATATAATATAGTATGTGTATATATACAAAAATGTATTTAGGAATCATTACTATAAATTTATTTAATTTAATTATTTAACAAATTATTTGTAATTACACATAAATATAACAAACAGTAGTCGTCCATTTTTAAACTGTTGTTAATATAAAAATAGTTTATAATATATTGTACCGCGTTAGCACTGCATTTCTTCAAACAATACGTAAAATTATAAACGCATAATCAAAAATAAATTCTTCTAAGAATTGCACAACGAATATATTATTATTTTTCAATTATCAACACCATATAACGTCCATTGGCCAATTTGCCAGCTAGGAACTGTTAGACAGTTGATGTCAGACTGGTTTCATATATTTTATTAATAAAACACTACATGTTTGTTCAATATCAAACAAAATTTTCAATATGTAGTTCTTTTTTATGGATTATATTTAAATACATTTAATATAATATTTGCAATTTAATTTTATCAATTTCATAAAGAAAATTATTTAACATCCAATAAAATAAAATTTTTTTATATATATTTGGTTTTAATATAATACACGCATATAAAAGCAAATCTCGATACTATTACATGAAAATAAAACGAATCAACAAATTAGCTTCATTTATATTATATTACTTTATTATATATATTTATGTTATATTTTGTTTAAATTTTATTAATAGTTTGAATATATTTATTTTAAAAATTTTATTTAAAAAATTTGGTAACATGGAATTAATTTTATTTTATCGCTACATGAAAATGTTATTAAAAATATAAGTATAAATGCCTTTCTATATACTATATATTCCTGGGTAACGCTCGCCATAGGAGGACACCACTTGAGATGTTAAAGAACTAAAAATCGTGATCCCGCAGTTGGTCTTGAAAGAATGCAATACACGGACGTATCGTGACCGTACATACGAGGTCGAATTGTTCTGTAGCGATTCCGCTTGTACCGATACTTCTATGCTAACAATTTCGAATCTTCATTTATAGTAACGGGTACGCGTATCATTGAAAAACAACAAAATCTATACGGAAATATACGTGACAGTAATGACAGTGCCAATTATACAGCCGTGGCTTCGCTACGTTTAGAAAATCGCTAAAGCATTAAAATCGACAAGAAAAGTGCGTGTACGTGAGTGAATAGAGTGCCTCAACCCTGATCTCCGCGCCCTTCTGAATCGTTGACAGTTACCGTGATTTTCTTTAAACGATATTATCGATGACGTGCTGTGGATCGATCTACGAGGATACAAAGGTGTTGCATGCTGCGTGCTAGGGCAAAAAACAAGGGTTTTTATTGTCATATTTTAACCATCGAGGTGGGCTGCACCGACAAGACTGTGGACGTTCCTAGATTGGCGGTAAATACACATTTATCAACAATGTATCTTCTTCGTTCTTTCTCGCTCTCGTGAACTTGCTTTTTCTTCTTCTTTTTATTGCTTATGCCCTATCGTCATTCATCTATCATATGTACCATTTCGTGATTGAATGCATGATAATTTTTCTACCATTGCTTTCTAATCTTTTTTTTTTCTTTCAATTCTTCATATGACACTCTTTTGTATATATATATATATATA